ATGAAAACAGAAGTGTGCCAACTACTCTTAAATCTACAAAAGCCAATATTAAGATGGATCATCGATATGTGGTGTTCTGATATTCAATTAAAAAATATGAAGTACATGTATAAAGTGTAAAGTGAAGTATGCAAGTTGTTAGAATCAGTTCACTGTATTTTGTTTTCCTGAAGACAAAAAAGTGACTAGATGGGGAATTCACCAGTGACATTTAGTGAAGTCAATGTAAGGTTATTAGTGAATAATATTTAGAATGACCCATAAGAGGTAAAATTATCTATAATTATTTTGTTTATTTAAATGCCCCCAATGATTTTTACTTTACCTATTTACTTAGTTTTTCATATTGTGTAGAAAAAAGCCAGATGTTGCATATAAAAAAACAGAAAAAAAACAAATGTATCCCCTCAAAATTCTGAATCAGGCCAAATTGAAGTAGCTGTCATTCATAGGAATCATTAACTAGATTTATAAAAGCACAGAAATTATTAATTTATGACATATGTTCTATATAATAGTATAAAATGGAATAGAATAGAATGCAATGGATGATCGTTCTCCCCTCATGATATTTAGAAGTTAAATCAAAGTTGAGAAAGCCTTCAGTGAATATTATGATGGAAAGAGAAATAAAAATAGTTTTGAAAGTACAAGACTCCAAATCATATATGAAGTAATGCCATAAAATGCAGAAAATATGTATTCATATGTTTATAGAAATTTTAATGACCTGAACAGAACAGTAAATGGGGCTCGACATTCACACTACATGATTTTTGAGCACTATAGACAATAAAAAAAAGGACAAAATAAAGTACAGAGTCTTTAGAAGAGGTACAACTGATTTGGTGTATTTTTAGGCTTGCAAACTTTTGTTTTTTAGACTTAGACTTTGTCGTTTTGTACACCCAGGGTGTATACAAAACGAAATTTCGTTCAGTACAGCTCTCAAGATATTTCAATTTCTTACAGCGTAACTGTGATAGAATGTAAACATGATGATCAATGTAAACATAAGACTAAGATATGATTTACAGTTTTTCCAACCTTTTTTTTTTTGGAATCTGCTGGACCTGTATCGAATGCTTCAAAGCCTTTTTTTAATAGAAAATTGATTTTTTAAATTGGAACTGGAATATATGGAAAATAATCTTTCTTATTTTTTCTTTCCAAGGACACAGCTGGACAGGAAAGGTTTCGTACGCTGACACCCAGCTACTACCGCGGTGCGCAGGGAGTCATACTCGGTAAGTAGCTGAGCCTTTCAAGCTTAACAGGTCAAATGATCCCCACCTCTTCATTTTTGTCATGTCCACATTCACAGCCTTTTCCATTCACCACAGTTATACTTGTTTACTGATAAACTTCACGTTAAAATAAATCATGTTGGTTGACCTTTCAGTTCCCTCTACTGTCATGAAAACCATTTTCCAGTCCAGTTAATTATAACTTAGTTACATAATGGTTTCAAAAAGGGACACATTTTATTTCTATATTTACCATTTAAAGTAACACTGTAAAACTATTCACTATGTATTAGCTTAGCTTGATAAAAATTAAACTTATTGTTCAGCTCACTTTGTTCTTGTTGATGCAAACCACTCCTGTCAGTTTCCTGCCTATTTACCTTCAGACTGTTAGATTTGTCAGTCAATGAGTCATGTGACCTAGAGCGCCACTTTGCAGCAGCCTGAGCTCCTTTTAAAGATCAGACCTAAAAATGCTAAAGTATTTGTCAGCCAATAAAACGAATATGAAACTTTCCATTTCATATATATTTTTGGGTTCTCTGATGTGGGATTTAAATGTTTCCTTGTCTTTAAAAGTAACTCCATGACTTCTTTTTTCACTGATCCGAAGTGGTCAGTTATCAGACTCCAATACATGGAGGGAGACGGCTGCTTTCACAGCTGAGGGAGGGAGTTTCATTTTGCCACAGTGCAGTGTTGCTAATCATAGACATCACCGCCATATTGAATGTGGCATAGAGGTGCTATAGGGAGGGATCACCAATCAGAAAGCATGTCTCACTCCTGTGCTTCATGGAAATGTACCACCTGATTTATAGTACAATCCAGATCTGCTGCACGTCCCTTTCATGGATAAGAATGGAAAAAAATACATATAATAGGATTTTTCTTTGACGTAATTTACTAAACAGAATGTGCTTACTTTGGGGAAATTAGTGTCGCCTAACGGGCATCATTATATGAATCCTACAGGGAAACCAGCTAGAAAGAAAAAAATATCTAATTTTCTATATATGAAAATAAACCACTTAAATTGTTTATGTTGGTTTCCCAAAGATAAAGCTTTGGGAAAGCAATAAGAACAGCAGTGAGAAGATAAATGTTAATTTATTCAATATTAATATTTGTGGTCTTTATTTTTTTAAAACATGTCATATTGGAACCTTTATTATCTGGTATAGACACAGATCTATGATGGAGATTAGGTAGAGATGTCCTGATGCAATATTGATATCAGAAATCAGTTTCAACCAGATATAAGAAAGCCCATAGACACCCTTTGATTCTGTCCACTTTTGTTTAAAATGTATGTAACTCTTTGGTGAATAAGAAATGGGTCAGTTGTTCTCATACTTGATGTCATTTTACTGTTGTTCTCTGTCTGAGAAAAATCACTTATTCAAACCCTTTCTATCATTCCACTCTATTACATAAGTAATAAAAGTATCTTTCATTCTTGCTGATATCATATTGGGTCAATATCACATTGAATCAGAAGTGAAAAAGTTAAATCAAGACATGCCTAGAATTAGGCGGAAAATTTGTTTTTCCTACGGAACACAGGGATAAAATGACTAATATTACAAAGAAAAAAATTCATGAGAATGCAGGAAAAATTTGACAAGACGAAAGAAAAAATAATATTGCAAAAATAAAGTGGTAATGAAAGTAATGCCTGTAAGATTCCACCATGGCGTATTAAGGTAAAGCTACAGATTGTTTAAATTTAAGTTATGACATAAAGGAGGAAAAAAAGCTAAAAGAATGCATAGATATATATAATATACTTTATATAAATTACAAACTAATTTTTAATATTGTGATAATTAACATAAAGTATGCTGTGAGATTAAAATCACTCTTGTATAGAACAAGTGTCTTATGAGTTTAACAGCAGCTCAGTTACATCCAACATGACACTCTGACACCCAGTGAGGGGGCTACCTTTTCATGTTCATCTCTGGCACCCCCTAGTGGCTAAATTTTACATTTTAACAAAAAACCAAACATATGTTTTGGAAATTGTATATAGTTGTATCAAGTGATAAGGTAAAGGCAAAAATACCTTAGAAGATAATTATTTTTCTTTGTCAAACTGAAAGTCACTGATAAGAAAACTATTAAAGTAAAAGTAAGAAATTTTAAGAGAAAATTAAAAGTGCTGTGTATATTTGCAGATTATATTTTATACAGTTGGGTGAAAGCGATGGTGGTTGAATATTTGAAAACCCACTTTAGCCCCAAGAAAACATTATATTCAAACAGAGCTGTCCAGAAGAACTCATAATAACACAAAAGAACATCATGTATCATACAACATGAATCAGAAAATAGCAAAAGAAATTTTACTCTAACACCAATAAAGTAGGATGGTTTAGTGATAACTTGGACAGTATTTAGAATCAAATGTAGTCATATAAATCCCTTTCTGCCCCTTTAGAGACAAAAAATGTTTTTTTTTTAAAGAACCATACTCTAAAAGACTTTAACAAAAAATGGCAAACAACTGTTGAGTGTAAACAAGGACAAACAGAGCAGTTCTTCTTCTTTTATTCACTTGTTGATTCAAGATGAACACATCTTTCATGTCTCTGTTGTTGTAAGACATAAAAATAAAAAGTCTTTATTTTACAAAAAAACAATAAAGTTCACATCACACTATTACACACTATTACCAAGTAAATTTACTTAGTTACTCTACATATCTGGGAATTTATTAGTGAAAAAAAACGTATTTTATTTGTAATAAGTTTTATAGAAAGGGAAAAAAACATAAAAACATTGCAGAGGTTGCTTACTATTACTCCAGTAGGATGTAGATACACATGAAAAGTAAAATAAAGCACATTGCTTTAAGCCTAATGAAAAATTAGTTTATAAAGATATTAGTTCTAGTGTCTCATTTATGAAGACGTTTTGTTATTATTTTATAAAAAAAAAAAAACACAGAAAAAAGCAACTGCCTAAACTTTATTTATTTATTGCTACATATTTGTGTAGGAATTTTAATTGCTGTGTTTATCGTTTTAGGCAAAGTTAGAAGAAGAATGGTTGGTTTATTGCCTGTAGCAGCACTGCAGTGAGGCAAAACGTCAGTTTTCAGTGTCGCATGTCGAGGAAGGGATGCAGTTTCTGAGGGCTGCCCTTGTTATAAATTATTAGGAGGGTTCATAAGTACCTGTTGTTCTATAGATGCAGTTTTTGGATGATAGACCGTGTAAAAGTAGCATGATTTTAAAATGAGAGGGAAAAATGTAAAAAAAATTTTGGTAGCAAATTAAAATAAGACCTTAAAGGAATAGTGCACCCAAAACATGATTAGCCTTCATTTTCTACTCACCCCCATGCTGAACAACACTCTGGAGTACTTTTTTGATATCTCAAA